GGTGATAAATAAATAATTAAATATATTTTATTAATTAAATATATTGATACCATAATTATACAATCAATGATCACAATTATATATAGGGCTAGGCAAATCTCCCGAACCGAACCGAACTCGACGGTTCTTGTCAAATTAAATACCCGAACGCGTATCTAAATTGAGAACCGATGGGTACGGTACGGTTCGATTTTCGATTCTAGACCAAAAATCGAATAACCGAATAAGAACCGAATCTTTCTAATTTTTTTTATATTGAATAAATCAAATTATTTTAATTTTTTCTAAACAAATTAACAATTTCTAAATCCAAATTTTTGGTCCAATAATTTGTTTCATTTCTAGTTTTTTAATTTTTTGCCCAATTACCCATTTTATTGTTTCATTTCTTAGCCCAACAAGATTCAACCCACTAAATAACCCTAAACACCTACACTAAAGTGTATAATGTTGTCTCGACTCTCGCACTCACTCTCGCAGCTTCACTGACATTTCAAAACATATACAATTTTTGGCCGACGCTGTGACCTCCGATTGAAATTGTGATCTCCGCCAACTGAAGTTTTGATCATAGCGATCATTTGAATAAGATAATCTACTAGTCTCTGACATTCCAAAACCATTGAATATGTCATTAGTTATATTTATATAATGTTGTTATAAATGTTAAAAAATTTAATTATAGTACAGAATCGAACCGAACTGAACCAAACGAAATCGAACCCAAACGGTTCCATAATTATATTTGGACCTGACGGTTCCATTTACTAGATACCCGAAAATTTTGGTTCCGTTCGTTTCGATTCTCTTTAGAACTGAACCGAATCGACCCGCGCCCACCTCTAATTATATACTTATAGATCACAACTTATTTAGGTCACATATTATCAAATTAATTGATCATGGATTATTTCATGGTCACAAATCCAAAAGTTTATAGATTACAGTTTATTCATCACTTACATATTTTCAAATTAGTTGGTCACAAATTATTTTTTAGTCCCAAATTATATAATTTTTAGGTCACAATTAAATGATTAATCACAAATAATCAAATAATTGGTCACAAATTAACCAAATAGTTTGTCACATACACCAAACATCCCATTCCCACCTTCGATCCCGATCCTGATCCATCACCAGTACTTGATAACAAATTAACCAAATAATTTCTCACAAACACTTAAGTAGTTGATCACAAACTTTCTACTTCTCGCCCCGTCGTCACCACACCACCACCACATCTGCCACCAACATCAACTACAACAACACCACCACAAATCACGGGACGCCACTACTGCACAATACCATCGCACCCAACCACCGCCACACAAACCAAATCCAACATTATGACCACCTCACCACTGTAACAGTGCTCCATTGCAGCAGCGACTGTAGCGCGAAATCTGAAGTTGCGACTACAACAGCAACTGTCGCATTGTCATCATCGCTGCAGAGTGAAATCTGAAGCAACGACTACAGCACCATCATCTGTAGCAATCAATGCGCAAGCGACTACATCACAGCGATCGATGATATAGCTGTGCGCCACGACGTTAGAGTACCACTCTAGGTATTCCGATGGCTTTGTTGAGGAAGAAAATAGTAGACATAAAGGGAGAAGAAATAAGAGAAAATGAGATGAGAGATAAGGGAACTAATTAAAGTTTGAAGTGAAATTTGGTTAGGTAGGGTAGAGTTGGGTAAATAGGTAGATTAATTTGATTTTATAATATTATTTATTAATACTAAAAATTTGAATTAATACCTGAATTTTGAATAAAAAACTTTTAAACAAGATTTTTGAATTGAAAAGTCAAAATAATCTGTGTAGATGTAATTTCCACTTAAGGAGATATTCCTCTTGGGGTCCCCAATCTTTTCATTTGGACCACAACATACTCCAAAATGACCGATGGATTAATTTCCCTCCACATTGAGTACGATTAAGTTGGTAACTTGCTTTTTACTTATGAAAATGTAAAACTTTCCTCTTGAATTTATATCGGTCCAAGGGGTCTCCAAAATGGAAGGAAAATATTTTTTAACAATTATACCCAAATTTATCACGTGTCTGTCTTCTTTTGCAAGCTAAATAGATGACTTCAATCAATTTAAGATACCATGTGCACATTTTGTGATGTTGGGAACCTAGGATGACCCAAACGGAAAGTTAGAGACCCATAGTGGCACCTGCGAAACGATTAGATATTTCTAAGGGATCCATATGTTCGTAGATCTATCAAATGCATACCCGTTTGTATTATACAAAAATCCTTTCATGCACAACAAAATGGATAAAACGTCGACAACAACTGCAAAGATATGATAGTAGAATGAATGAGATAAAGTTTAGAGTTTATTAATAAACAAGGGTACAACTTGCTATTCAAAATAGAGCCTAATTTTTTTCTTTTTTTCTATAAAGACAAATTCACTCTTTATTTTATTTCTTACCTTCAAAAGCTTATTTCAATGTTCTAAAAAACGTAAAATGTGCCGAAACATGAATAATAAGCTTCGACCTAAGCGAGCATAAGCATAAGAAAAAGGTTTTCTTGTTTTAATATTATTTTAAAATTTAAAATCAATTTACAAATTATTTAATAAATAAAGACAAAAGCGTAATATATATATATATATATATATATATATATATATCAAAAAGTGTAAAAGCACGCCTAGTCGCGAATTAAAAAAAATAAAAATGGGCGATGCAAGACATTTTGCACCTAGGTATCATCTAGGTACCGCTTTTCAGAACATTAGTTTATTCAACTTCGCAAAATAATTAAAAAAAAAAAAGAAACTCCGTAAAAAAGATATGATGGGACTAATAAAGTAAGCATCATTTTATTTTTCAAATATTATCTAGAAATAATTTATCGATGAAAATTGGCTTCAGTTTAAAGGATTAATTTAATTTGATAATATTATCAAATATTGAAAGGTAAATTGGCATCTATCAAATTCATTTTATAATTTTTCAAATATTATCTAGAAATTCAATTCAGTTATGTTGATGAAATTCTTGGAATATATCTGGTCTTTGTCAAGGCATCTTTCACAAATAGAAAAAGTGATATTTTTACATCATCAAGTTTGACTTGAATTGTGTCTCCCAAGTCAAATTTGAAGTGGATATTCCCCAAAATTAATAGGTCAATTGTTATTATTATTTTACCACAAATTCAGTTCCTAACAATATCTATGATCATTGAGCATCCTAATACAATATTATCGAGTAACTTTTTTTTATTAAATGTTAGAAACTCAAAACAGAGAACCTTTTAATTATTTCTATAACAAATTAATCTCAACCTTCATGTTGGAGTTCACTCTCAACGTTAATTATAACTTAAGCAGATACCTGATGCTAAAACTTTTGTGTAACAATACATGTTTTCTTGAAGGTCTAAAAACGTTATTTTTGAATATTAAAAGGTTTCTCGTAATGGTAGAACTATAATAAAAATTTTAAAGACCAATTTATCATTGGGACAATAGTTAAAGATCACCTATGCAATTTCCTCATTTTGGAAAAGGATACATAATTTGTATGGACCGCCCAAATCATGAGATCAAATCTGAAGCACTGTAATTACTTCATCAGCTTCGACCAATCTTCTTCCAGCAAATGACAGTGTCCCATAGCCACTTTGTAGCCACAAAGATAGAATCGTCACTTTATATCATTTTTACTTGGAAAATTTGTTGCACAAGCTGACAACGTTAAGTATAAATAAAGGTGCCTCCAGCCAGCTCCTCGGGCACATCCAAGTTGGCAAAAGAAGGACAGTGCGGGGCTCGCAATCCCAGCGTGGAGAGTTCGATTCCTGGTTGGAGCAGCTGAGTGTTGTAATAACCAGAGGAAGGTTGGAGCAGCTTGGTGATGTAATAACCATGGAGGAGGCTCCCTTGGGGTCAGGAGTATAAAGGCTGTTCGAACCTGGGTCAACTTGGGCACATCCCATGATTTACCTCCCTAAGCTGCTGAGGGGCCGGAAGTTCAGGGATGAGGATATAGTCTGGCGTAAGCTGGAACACCTCGTTAAAAAAAAAAAAAAAAAAAAAAAAAAAAAAAAAAAAAAAGGGCCCCCCCCCCCTTTTATTTTTCTTTTTTTTTTTTTTCATTTGAAAAAAAAAGGTGCCTCCAGCCTCTTCAATTGTCCTTTTTTTTTTTTCCGGGTATATTAGTGGCCATGCATTTGATATGATTAATCTTTGAAGGTCCAACGTTGTCTTATTTTGAGTAGTCCAACCCCATCATCAATCAATATATATTACCCTTAACGTGTCTCTCAAAATGGGACTCTCTTAAGTATACCAATCTTGAAATATGAACACTCATTTAAGAGAATGTTTGACACCAATTTTTATGGGAAAATGAATTTTAGAATAGTAAATTGATGGAGAATGTGTGGATGAAAAATAAGGAATTTTTTTTATTTACGTGTAATATTATTTTAATGAAGAATGTGTAGTTAAAAAAAGATAGATAATAATGCATTTTGAGAAAAATGAAAATCAAACGGGGCCTAAGTTTTAGACGAATTGAGTTACTAATTCTAGCTTAATAAGCTCTAATAATTTAAAATTCCAACTTAAAAGATTAACTTTATTAAGAGAAGTAACTCAAACTTTCATATACTATTTATTTTGTTTTATTGATGTGGGGCATTAACCTTATATGATTGTTACACCAAGCTTAGCAAGCCGAATTTTCCTTTTCTCTGGGCATAATTTTTATCTCGAATCTAAATCAAATTCTAAGCGTGAATGTGGGCAAACTTTTAAGTACATAATATTCGATAAGATAACTGACAAATATTTTACACGCTTTCCTCTCCTTTTTCATCCAGACTAGTCTAGTATAATCAAATCCAACATACCATACACTAGACTAAGCATCTCATGGCCTCTTTTCTTTCATCAACTCCAGTCCAATTCAATTTAACATACCATAAATGACATTAGTGTGTACTAATAAACCCACAAAAAAAGTAAGTAATTTCACTAGTTGGTATTAAAACATTACAATATGCCCGGAATATCTAGTTTGATGCCATGTCAATTTAAGGCCCCTACCATTACATGTAGCTGTCCACTCACTCATGCAAGTAGAACTTTCTTTTGACCAAATTGAGGTTTGACGAATCCTATGCTTTTCTAGTGTTGGAACAAAGGGAAAGAGAAAAAAAAGGTGTATTTTGCGAATGTTCACATAAATACTAGTCCCTTTAATCTAAGCTTTGACTATCCACTTCGCATATTCATATGATTCAACATAACATATTCACTTCACGGCTGTCCTCCCAAGCAAGCCTAGGTTTTCCTAGGTATACACGTGTCAAATAATCGCACAAATTTACAATTACCAATTGCGTATAATATTTTGATCTTGGCTTACTATTGTATAGATGGAAGACTAAAAGAGAGGGAACGAGTTGACGAACTTACCTTTTAATAGAGCAATGACAATTGCATGCCGTATGCGTTGGTATGTCTTTGGTCGCCTACTTCCAATACAGGGTGTGCCTGCGACATGTGAGCATTCACACAACAAAATTTCCGTGAGGAAACAAAAAAGTATAAAAGAAAACATATTTACCAAATCTGTTATAATATGTTTGATACTCAATATTATACACGTTTGGACAATAAAATAAGAACTATTTTACTACTGTCCAATCATGTTTCATACTGGGTCCAGAACATACCCATAACACTAAGCGAAGGACCTTGTAATTTCGCTGAAACTGCACAAAATACAGATGAGACATTGGTTTGACATTCCAAACAGATTGGGGCTGGACCAGAATCCTTATATTCTTGAATGGATATCTTCTGCAGAGGCTATCTGAATATGTAGGACCCATTTCAGTCAAAAGATAGTCCCGCTGAAATTCCCATACTTTCCCAAGTCAATACTCTTCACAATTGGTTCCCTCTGCCCTCTGCTTAATTCAAGGATACACACAGTGAAAAATGTAAAGAAGAATAATGGGAAAGAAATAAACTTGCATTAAATACCTTATCTCCTTCAACAATTGCTTTTCCGAAAGGATACAGATAAAACCTCTGTTTGGAGGAGATTTAAACATTTATCCTCACATGCTATCTTTTTATCATATGTCGAATCATGGCTGTACATCAATATGAAGGTTGTCCAATAAGTGACACGATTTAACTTGACCATCATATATATGCATAACAAACAAAAAAGATGTATGTTCAACTGGGGAGTAGGATAATTCTTTTCATTGTTATAGTAATCTAGAAATTCCAACTAATAACTACATTAAGGGCATGGCCTTTGAGAAGCTCGAAGGAACTTCTGAGATCCAAAATCTGCTTTTGGATCAATTTGGTTAATTTTATAAAATGTTTCGTCTAGTTAAAAGAGTTGTTAGATGAAGTTGGTCAGGTGTGAATTTTTCTAAAAGCTCTTCTGAAAGAGAAAACTCTTTTAAAAATTAGTTTTCAAATACAAATTAAACCTCCGTTTGAGCTACATTAATGTAAAAATTAGAATGAAAAAATATAACTGTTATGAACCCTACACAAGAGATAAAAAGTGAAGTAAGTGGTTTGATGTGATGGATAATGATCATATTTTTCATTTTAATGAGGAAACAATGGGGCTCAAACAGGGCCTAAGATAGCTACATCAGGAATCTCCTATACAAGAAGCAGAAGTAGAAGCAACAGCAAAAACCTTACCAAACAGACCCTAATAGGCTTAGGAAAATGCATATGTTAGCCACCAAACAATATATTATCAGCTGAATTCATGAAGGCAGATGCAAAACCAAAAATGTAAAAGTTTTCTAATTAGTAACTACATTACAATGAATAGTCAAACCAATTCTTCCAGTTAAGTCCCCCAAAAAAGTGGGACAAATGCTCTCACGTTTAGGTAAATCAATAGCAAGTTGGAAAACTGGGAATGTTAGAGAGGGGGCGGCTATGATAAGACGTGATGACAATGGAAATATTCTACTAGCTCATACTGTGGGCCCCCAAAGCGGATTACCTCGAATTTTTTTGCATTAGATTGGTGTGGGCGGTACTACCATGTGAATTCTAAAGATGGTCACCCAAGGATGGAGAAAATAATGGCCTTGAGGAATCTTTCCATGCATTGTTTGATAAGAAACAGTTCCCCAACAGCAAATATAAATACCTTCACATGTTCACTTCTTCCTCAAGTACTCCAAATTCTCAATTGAGTCTCTGGATCACTAGGAATACCGTCAATCATGGACAACAGATATGAGTCTTCAGAGAGCCAAAGGTACACTTTTATTCCACACAATGAAACCATGTACTCATGCATTCTCACATATATTCGTTATATAGGATGCATTGCATAATACAGCACAATGTGCATACTGATGGATGTTATATTACTCCCTAATCCGTTTTGTGTTCAGGAACAAGTGTGCTGCATGCTATAGACAATTCAACAAAATGGAGCATTTGGTCGAACACATGAGGACGTCATATCATTCAGCACATGAACCCATGTGTGGAATTTGTAAAAAGCATTGTCGGTCATTTGAGTCTCTAAGGGAACATCTTATAGGTATTCTTCAAACTCCAAGAAGCTACATCATGTTCTTTGACATTTAAGATTTGGCTTCTTCTAACATCTTTGATTTTATATATAGGACCGTTACCCAAGGTAGAATGTGAAAGGATATTTAAGGAAAGAGGGTGTGATCTTTGTTTAACCATCCTTAGTAGCCGTAACGCTCTCTACGTCCACCGAGAGAAATGCCAATTCTCACGCAGCAACAATATTGTACAGATGCTCAAACTAGAATATCTAACTACATTCTTTAACCTTTTCGGCATAGAATCAGGATAAAACAATTCTTGCTGGGTTTTCTTTTACAGGGTCTGACACATCGAATGGCAAACTTAGGCATTCAGGATGATTTGAAGATCGATAATAATAGAGCAAAAGTGGTTTCACTTGCTTGCAAAATGGTCGGTGGAGGTAGTGATGGCTCCTTAGATCTTTGTGCAAGGGTTTGCCTCATTGATGAGTATGAGAAGATAATCTTTCATACATATGTGAAGCCACATCTGCCTGTCACAAACTATAGGTAATGAAATATTTACAAAACAATGGTAAATTATGTCACGAGTAAATTCTGACTGAACTTGAAATCTTAAAAACTTTTAGGTATGAAACAACAGGCATAAGACCAGAATTTTTAAGGGATGCTCTGCCGCTTTGGCAAGTGCAAAAGAAGATTCAAGATTACTTGTGTAATGGGGAGCCTGTATGGCAGATCCGCTCCAGATGTGGAAAAGGAAGGATCCTTGTAGGCCATGGATTAGATCACGATTTGAAAAGCCTAGAAGTCGAGTATCCACAGATGATGTTAAGGCAAGTTCTCTCAGCTGAACCAGCACATAACTAAAGACTTTTATGTCATAAATTGATACCCTCGATGACTTTAGTCTGAACCAGCACATGACTAAAGACTTCTATGTCATAAATTGTTGCCCACAGTGACTAGTTCTGATTTTTCACAAATTCAATGTGATGCTGCTCATTTTTGTTTGCCATAAGAACAAAGAAAATAAAAATTTTGAAATGGAGTCACTAGTCTTAGAATTCTTTCTACAGGGACACAGCAAAATATCCTCCACTGATGAAAACGAGCAAGCTGAGCAACTCGCTGAAATATTTAATGAAAGCATACCTTGGGTAATTGCTTTGCTGCAATTTCTGTCACTTATCATTTTACTCATGATAAACCTGGGAGCATGAATATTTTTTCTTTTACAGATATGACATTCAAATTGGTATTCAAGATCCCTATGAAGACTGTGTTGCAACAATGAGGCTGTACATGAGAATGAGATCACAGCGTCATAAAGTGGAAGAATATCCGCTTGCTTCAGAGCCACAAAATAGAAACAATTTTGCAGCATGGAGGCAAAGCGAGCTTGAGAAGATGTCTCCAGAAAAGATGTTGGATATCTCAAGGTCTGATTACCATTGCTGGTGCTTAGACTCTAGCAGCTAAAGAAGGAAGTGAATTGCAATTGAAGTACTTCTCTAAATTGGGCACAAACATTAGCATGACAACCAAACATGAAATTTTATGCCATCAACTAGACCAAGCTTTTCTTAACTAATTGCAAAGTTCAATTTAATTCACTTCCAGGATGATGTGTAGCATCATAAGCTATTTCAGCTAATCGGATTTCACTTTCTGAAGGCAATAGGATCGCATTAGAAATTATAATCTATTTCATGATATAAATGATTGCATTATATCAGTTATCTTGTAATTCTCATGGTTGTATCAGTATGACTTAATGTTCAATAAAAGGCTTTCACCATACTATAGCTGTAACAAAACAACAGCATTATTTCATAAGTTCACACTCGTGAGATTGGCGATCCAAAAGTAACAGGATTTATACAGCTTTGTGTGGTAAAATATTCCAGAAACTATACGCTGATTTCAAGCCTGTGATACTCCATTCAAACACGTAAGATTAAGTGGTATTAAGATTGGAGACTGTTAACATGTTCATTTCTCTACTTCATAGTTCCTTTAGATGATTGGGGAACCTTTAATTAGATCCAATCGCTTGACTTTGATTGGCTGCACCATGAACCATCTACTAGAACCAAGCAGTTTTGAGTTATACTTGGGTATTATTGTCAAACTGAAGCCCTAAACCTTAAGACCACTAGGATGTACCCATGTTCACTTTGTTTCTGTTCAATGATCTCCATAGCATGTAAGAAAGGTGTGTATTTCTTTGTTAATTTTCTTGGGCTGAGAGAAGGAATAGGAGAGAAGATATTGAATTTCAATATCCTGCTGCGAGGGCGCAAGAATCTTTATATTTCAAGCACATCATTTTTTTAATTGATTCACAAATACAAAAGAAAACCTTTCAGCTAGAAAATAATGAAATTTTTTAACAAAAAATAATTTCTTGGTTAAGAAATTGCAATTCTTTAGATATCAAACAATAATACAATAAAATAACTAGATAAAGAAATACAACAAAGTGTACAATAGCCAACATCAAACCTTGGGAAAATGGATCCTATCCTCGTTCACTTTTACAATTCTACTCTTCCTTGAGGAATGTTTCAGATCTCAAATCCAACCTTGTACAACATTTACAACTTTTCTCCCTCTAACTCTACACTAAACCATGATTGCACCGTCTATTTATCTTTAAGAGAAATGAAACACAGCAAGTTATAGATCTTAGGGGCATTATCAATTTGCGACAATGCGTGATCAACCTCCATCTCATTAGTGTAACATTCTTTTCCATACTCTCTCCTTCCCATCTACAATTTGAGTGATTTTAACATAGTTTCAAGTACCAAACAGAACATTATTTATGAAAATAGCATATAAAGTATAATAGCACAACATGATTCACATCCATAAAAGTATATAAGCACAAAAACCTAACACGTAGACGACAATCATAGGAAGATAAACCCACAGTGCCGTTTACAACGTCAATCCCTATGATCTCCGACTATCTTCTGATTCCATCCCATCTCCAATTTGTGTGATTTAAACATTTTTCCAGTACCAAATACAAAACTGTTTATGCAAACAACATGGACAAAATTTATAGGAAAAGGTGAAGTTTACCATGCAGTCTACAATTCCAATGGCCTTGATATCCGCTATCTTCTGATTTCATAGAGGTCAATTTTCAATTGGGAAATTTATGTACCGAAAAATATAACAAATCACACCCCTTGCATGATCAGTACGACTGTCCACCCTAAAAGGCCATTCAACACTCGAAGGCACCGGAGTAATTTATGCAATAAGGTAGTGTGTGTGAATTTGTGTATGATCACGAATATCAGACTAGTAGGTTTCTCTCAGTTTCCCAATTCTGCGCGCGTAAAGGTGGGAGGAAAATACTGTAAACTATGAGGTCCTTTCCTTCTTCCTCTGGTCTGGGTTGTATACGGATTCAAACTGAAAACTGGGCTGGGACACCTCATGTCGGTTATTTGGCCCATTAATCCATAAGGCCCAGCTTAAGTGGTCGAATTTGGATTTTGGGTAAAAAAAAAAAAAAAAAAAAAAAATTTAAAAAAAAAAAAAAGAGGTCCTTTCCTTCTTCCTCTGGTCTGGGTTGTATACGGATTCAAACTGAAAACTGGGCTGGGACACCTCATGTCGGTTATTTGGCCCATTAATCCATAAGGCCCAGCTTAAGTGGTGAAATTTTGGATTTTGGGAAAAAAAAAAAAAAAAAAAAAAACTTTAGAGAAATCAATAGTGATTTTTCATTTTTCTTTTTAAAAAAAAAAAATTTCTGTGATTGCCGTGCTCATGAACTCCACTTTCCTTCTTTGGTTTAACTAAAAATATTAATAAAAATTTAAGTTAATATCAATAATTAATTTTATCAGGAATTTCACAAAATTTACGACTTTTAGGCTTTCTCTAGGAGAGATCCAAGACCAAGATTTTAAGTGAATGTATGACCCGTTATACCTATAAAATTATCTCATATTGGGCCTTTCTATTGGATTGGGCTTGGAGTTGGCCCATTAGCCTCAAGCCTCACATGACTTGTTACATTTTCTATATATACGTTATTCATTTCACAAATGAGAACCTTAGCCAATTTCCCTCTTCCAACTCTTGCACTCTTTATTTTCTTTTCGTCCAGTCGTTGACTTAGCCATTGGAGCGCAAACGATCGTCGAACATTTTTCTCGACCGACGACCTTTGCCTCCTAATGGGATGTTTCGTGTGCAGGTGTGGAGAGGATGAGACCAGGATCTGTTGATGACTTTTTTGGATCAACAAATTGATGTCGTTTGTGAAAAATGGGTCTAATAACCATGTTTTTACCACATCAAAAAAAGGCCATGAAAAAAAAGGTATTTTTTAGGGCAATTTTCTACTGGAAATTGGCAAAGAAAACAACAAAGAACTCTGATATGAGAATAGCTACTGGAGCTTATAATATTCTAGGCCAACTCAATACAATTTTTTCATTAAAAAAAATTATCTAATGTATTTTGGAAAAATACATAGCACAAAAGAAAAGGAAGAAATAAATGAACGCTGTTTAGTTTCACCCATTCTAATATGGGGAAATTTGTTAAAGAGCCCAGTCAAACAATGTTATTGGTTAAGTAACATTCTTTCAATGTTTTTGGAACAAATAGCCTTCAACTATTAAGCACAATAAACAAACAATGTCAAATGTCATAAATACTCTCATTATTGGAAAAGACTCTAACACCCTTATCAATTCAATTAAATTCCTCAATTCAATTTTTTGTTCCCAAAATCACAGTAACCCGATTTCTTCTCTTTAACCATTCTTGATACTCTAAAATTCTATTATTTATTATATTCTTCACCTATTTGAATATCATTTGAATATTTATCATCTATATGGAAAAATCCCACTTAGATTTGAAGAAAGAAGAAAGATAATTTTAAAAATCTTATATAAATTGTACATTTATTATTGAATAATATTTAAGTTGGTGTTGTTTTTATATTTACTATGTTTTTTCTGCAACTATTGAATGGTAATGACACTCCAACTGTTATCTAAAATGTAAAACATCACTCCAGTCACTTTTCGTTGCGTAAAACGGCACTACAGTTGTTATCTATTGTGATTTGATTTTTTTCAGCGAAACAATTTCTAATAATGGACTACTGACGTAAGTAATACAGAAAAATTGACCATGTCACAAATAAATATTGAAATGACATACTTTTATATTATCGAGGTAGTGAAATCATAAGTTGTCCTACTCATATGTGTCGATTAAATTAATGAGCATATCTATCAACTTTTGTACATGTCATGTGCATATTACAACATAAATAAGTACAACTTATTATTTTTTTAGGGATATGTATGGATCATAACTATTTATAGTCGTGTTTACACATGTAACAGAACGTGTATTGTTTTCATATTCATTAACGACATTTATACCGTTCAGAAGTTTTTACCTATATTTAATCTTTTTCAATTAAATAACCTCTAATAACGAACATCATAATGTATGTAACATAAAAAGGTTGACAATATCATAAAGAACGGTTGAAATGATATAGCTTTTATTTTATCGAAATGGTGAAAGCACAAGTCATCCTACTCATGTGCGTCGATTAAATTAATTAACATATTACTTAACCTTTTACATTTCATGTGCATATAACAATGTAAACAAGTTTCACTTATTACTTATCGAGACACAAATGAGGCGTGACTGCTTGTATTCGCGTTTACAAATAGAACGATACAATCTGTCGTTTTTTCTCAATAAATGAACTTATGTCATTCCATTGAATTCTCCAATATTTTGATTTATTTTCAAGACAAAGACATCAAGCATTGGACCATCTAATGTAAGTAAAATGAAAATGTTATTCACATGATAAACAACGATTGAAATGATATAGATGTGTGATATCGAGTTGGTGAAAGTATAAGTTATTCTACTGGTTAATTAAAATATAAATAATAAGCATATCTCTTGGCTTTTGTAAATATCATGCTCATTTTACAATATAAATGAGTTCAACTTATTGGTTCTCAAAGTCATGAATAGGACATGGCCATTTTATAATTGTGTTTACAAACAGAACAACTCATGAGTCTTTTTCTTCTCAGTAATGGCACTTATACTATTCTGTTGATTTCTTCTATATTCTGATTTATTTTTAACTTAAGACCTCAAGCATTGGACCCACTAACGTGCGTGAGATAGAAAAGTTAATCACGCGACAAAGAATGATTTAAATGATTGGATCGTATGATATTAACTTGATAAAAACATAAGTTACTCTACTAGTTCATTATAATATAATTAATGAGCATATCTCTCAACTTTTATAAATCTCATGTCTATCTTACAACTTAAATGAGTTCAACTTATTGGTTCTCTAAACATCGATGGATCGTAGCTACGTATACTCGTGTTTATAGACAGACTAACGCAAGTGTTGTTTAACAACTCTTGTGTCATTCTGTTGATTTTTCAAATATTTTGCTTCTTTTCCCAACACAACGACCTCAAATATGGATCCCCTAACTTAAGAAAGTTAGAAAGGTTGATCACGTGAAAAAAATGGTTGAATTGACATAGATTATACGACATTGAGTTAGTGAAATCACAAGTCATTGTATTGATTCGTTAAAAATACATAACCAATGAGCACATCTTTCAACTTTTGTAAATAGAATGTTCATATTGCAATTGAAATGAGTTCAACTTATTGATTCTCGAGAGCATTGATGGGTCGTGGCTAGTATACTCGTGTTTATAGATAGAACGATACAAGTGTCGTTTAATAATTCTTGTGTCGTTCTGCTGATTTCTCAAATATTTTGCTTCTTTTTCAACGAAGCGACCTCAAACATGGATCCTCTAACTTAAAAAAGTTAGAAATGTTGATCGCGTGTCAAAGAACGGTTGAATTGATATAAATTATACGGCATTAAGCTGGTGAAATCACAAGTCATTATATTGATTCGTTAGAAAATATAATCAATAAGCACATCTCTCAACTTTTGTAAACGGAATGTTCATATTACAATTGAAATGTGTTCAATTTATTGATTCTCAAAACATGGATGGGTCGTGGCTACATATACTCATGTTTATAGACAGAACGACACAAGTGTCGTTTAACAGCTCTTGTGTCGTTTTGTTGATTTTTCAAATATTTTGCTTCTTTTTCAACACAACGACCTCAAACATGGATCCCTAATTTAAGAAAGTTAGAAATTTTGATCATGTAATAAAGAACGGTTGAATTCATATAAGTTATACGATATCGAATGGCGAAATCATAAGTCACCGTATTGATTTGTAGAAAATATAATTAATGAACACGTCTCTCAATTTTTGGTGTTCTCTTAATTTTTGTAAACGACATAAACATCTTACAGTGAAATGAGTTTCGGGATTATTTATACTCGTATTTATAGATAAAACGACATAAGTGTAGTTTTTTTTACAGTAACAACGCAAGTGCCGTTCTCATAGAGAAATTATATTTCGATAACAGCACTTGTGTCGTTCTGTTAGAACTTTTCACCTCAAAAACAGCATAATTGTCGTTCTTAATGACATTTTCATCCTCCAAGCGGCACTTGTTCAGATCTTTTAGAACTTTTCATTTCAATAACAGTACAAGTGTCGTTCTCAATGACCTTTCATCCTCAAGCATTAGATCTGTAAAGTACACAAGAAAAATAAATCGCGTGACAAAGAACGATTGAAATGATGTAAATTATTTGATATAAAGAGTTGTTGAAAGTACAAGTGATTCTATTATTTTCAACAAAATAAAATTAATGAGCATAACTCTTAATTTTTTTAAATGTTATGTCCACCTTGCAACTTAATTGAGTTCAACTTAATATTTCTTGACTCAAGGACGATCGTGGCTGCTTAAACTCGTAATTATAGATAGAATGGCATAAGTTTCATTTTATTATCAGTAACAGCACTTGAGCCGTTCTATTGATTTCTCCTTTATTTTCATTTGTTCTAAAGCTATGACCTTTAAAATTGAACACATTAAGTTGTGTTGTTTTCACAGTAATAATAGAGGTTTATATTTTGGTACCATCACTTATGCCATTCTCTTAGAATTTTTAATTCCAGTAACGACGCTAATAACGTTCTCAGAGACTTTTCATATCAACAACGACACAAGTGTCATTTTCATAGATAAGTATATTTACAAGCATAATGATAGCTGTAGAGTTCTTATAGACGTTCTCATCTTAGTAGCGGTACAAGTGTCGTTCTCATGGATAAGTAAATTTACAATCATAATAGCAGTCGTACCATCATTGGGAGGTTAGACTAACAATTAATGAGCATATTTCTCAACTCATATTTATAGATAGAACACAGAATGGTCATTTTATTTCAGTAACGGCT